CTGAACTCGATGGTAAACGCAGGGAGACAACGATTTATACTGGTTCGGTACGCCGGAAAATCACGGCGCCCTACGTCCAGTGTGGTGTGGATAGTATATTGCGCCCTGCGCTATTTGTTGTGTTTGTGAGTTCTGTCGGTTATGTCTGTCATGTGTGTGTGTTAGCTAGGTCTATCTAGGGACCCCTGCCCTCCTTTATATAGTCAGGAGGCCAGGGTCCTAATCGGTTTACAATGAGATTTCCTAGTAGGATTATTTAATAGTTCTATTACTGAGATTACATGGGAAGAATCCTAATTGAACTAGATCTTCTCTCTCTCTTGCGGGGTATCCTGTGGGTCCCGCATCGATAGTCGCTTACAGGTAAGTTAAGAGAATTAGTTGATACCGCGACTAGGAGGCGTGTAAATATATTATGTGTTCAAGAGACTAAATGGAAGGGTCAGAAGGCGAAGGAGGTGGATAATACAGGTTTCAAGCTTTGGTACACAGGGACAGTTGCGAATAGAAATGGAGTAGGAGTTTTGATTGATAAGAGCCTCAAGAATAGTGTGGTGGGAGTGAGAAGGAAGGATATAGGATTATCTTAGTCAAGCTTGTCATTGGTGATATGGTCTTGAACGTAATTAGTGCGTATGTCCCCCCAAGTAAGCCTCGACGAGAGTGCTAAGAGACAGTTCTGGGAAGACTTAGATGGCCTGATTAGAACTGTACCTAGTAGTGAGAAGCTTTTTATAGAAGGAGATCTTAATGGGCATGTAGGCACTGCAAGCACAGGTTTCGAGGCAGTTCATGGAGGTTTTGGGTATGGTAGTAGGAATTAGGAGGGGGAGGAAGTTCTGGACTTCGCGGTAGCTTTTGACCTGATGGTAGTCAACAGTTTCTTTAGAAAGAGAGAATCTCATCTAGTGACCTTGAGTAGCGGACAACACTCTAACAAGATTGACTTTGTCCTCGCAAGAAGAAAGGACAAACGAGCATGCTTGGGTCGCAAGGTGATACCAGGGGAGTGTGTTGTTTCTCAACATAAGCTTTTGGTGGCAGACTTTCGTTTTCAGGTACGTGCCCGTAGGGATAAACAAGCTAAGATTGAAAGAATAAAGTGGTGGAAACTGAAAGGGGAGACGTCAGAGGTATTCAGAGAAAGGGTTATCAAAGAGGGCTCTTGGAAGGAAGAAGATGACATAAACAACATGTGGGAGAAGATGGCAACCAACATTCGGAAGGTGGCCTTAGAGGTGTGTGGAGTAACCAAAGGAAGTGGAGGCGAGGCTAAAGATGCTTGGTGGTGGAACGAGGAAGTCCAAAGGGCTATTAAGGAGAAGAAAGAATGCTATAGACGCTTGTACCATGACAGGAGTGTGGACAACATGGAGAAGTACAAGGTGGCAAAGAAGACTGCAAAGCGAGCTGTAAGTGTGGCAAAGGGTAGAGCGTACGAGGATCTTTACCAACATTTGAGTACGAAGGAAGGAGAGAATGATATTTATAGGATGGCTAGGATTCGTGAGAGAAAGACAAGGGACTTCAACCAAGTTAAGTGCATTAATGATGAAATGGAGCATCTCTTGGTGAAGGAGGATGAGATCCGACATCGATGGCAAGAGTATTTTAACAAATTGTTCAATGGTGAGAATACGGACACAACCTTTCAGTTGGATGACTTTTTTTATGACACCAATAGGCGCTTTGTGCGGAGAATCCAAGAATCTGAGGTCAGAGAGACGTTGAAAAGGATGAAAGGAGGTAAGGCGATGGGACCGGATGGTATCCCAATCGAGGTGTGGAGGTGCCTTGGGGACATAGCTATAGTATGGCTAACCAAGCTGTTTAACCATATTTTTCGATCGAATAAGATGCCTGACGAGTGGAGGAGAAGTATATTGGTACCGATCTACAAGAATAAAGGGGATATTCAAAGTTGTACTAATTACCGGGGAATTAAGTTGATGAGCCATACTATGAAGCTATGGGAGAGAGTTATCGAGCATCGCTTGAGAGCAATAACGCGGATCTCTATGAACCAATTTGGTTTCATGCCCGGAAGGTCAACCATGGAGGCCATTTTCTTAATAAGACAAGTTATGGAGCGGTATAGAGAGAAGAAGGACCTACACATGGTTTTTATTGACTTGGAGAAGGCTTATGATAAAATACCAAGGAATGTTATATGGTGGGCTTTGGACAAACATAAAGTCCCAACGAAGTACGTCGGGCTTATTAATGACATATACAACAATGTTGTGACTAGTGTTCGAACAAGTGATGGAGACACGGATGACTTCCCGATTAGGATATGACTACATCAAGGGTCTGCTTTGAGCCCTTATCTGTTTGCCTTAGTGATGGATGAGGTCACAATGGACATACAAGGGGACATCCCTTGGTGTATGCTTTTTGCGGACGATGTAGTGCTAGTTGATGAAAGTCGGACAGGAGTGAATCAGAAACTGGAGTTATGGCGGGAGAGTTTGGAGTCCAAAGGTTTTAGACTCAGTAGAACTAAAACTGAGTATATGAGATGTGACTTCGGCACTACTACTCGGGAGGAGGAAGATATTAGTTTGGAAGGTCAAGTAGTGCCTAGGAAGGATACCTTTCGATATTTAGGATCAGTGCTACAGAGAGACGGGGATATTGATGAAGATGTTAGCCATAGAATCAAAGCAAAGGTGGATGAAGTGGCGCCAAGCATCTGGTGTCCTATGTGACAAAAGGGTATCACAGAAGCTAAAATGCAAGTTTTATAGGACGACGATTAGACCGGCTATGTTGTATGGTGCAGAATGTTGGCCTACGAAAAGACGACATGTTCAACAGATAAGTGTTGCGGAAATGTGTATGTTGCGTTGGATTTGCTGTCATACAAGAAGGGATCGAGTTCGGAACGATGATATACGTGATAGATTAGGGGTAGCACCAATTGAAGAAAAGCTTGTCTAACACCGGTTGAGATGGTTTGGACATGTCCAACGGAGACCTCCAGATGCACCGGTGCGTAGTGGAATCCTAAGCCAGGATAGTAACGTGAAGAGAGGCAGAGGAAGACCGAAGTTGACTTAGGTAGAGGCAATAAAATGAGACTTAAAAGGATGGAATATACCTAAAGACTTAGCCTTAGATAGGAGTGTTTGGAAAACAGCTATTCACGTGCCTGAACTTTGATTGCTTCTGCTGGGTTTCAACTCAAGCCTACCCCAACTTGTTTGGGACTTAAAGGCTTTGTTGTTGTTGTCGTCGTCGTCGTCGTCGACTAACTTGGTGGTTAGCTTTTCGTATTTTATTATGCATTGCTCAGACTGCATTGTTCCGCTTCATATGCCAGTGTCCACATTTAAATTTTTGTTGATTCGAAAAAAAGAAATAAATTCTCATCTATAAGCTCCATACTTCATCACTTTGAAATCTCTGCTGCCTGCTGAATTCGTCCCACATATTGTTTTCTATTTCTTAATCCCATTTAACGGCTAATTGTTTTGTTAATATTTCTAACATGTAAACTGCCAACTATGTCCTCTTTGCTGTCTTGCAGTATAGCTAAACATCTGGAGTCTGCTAACACAATGTTCTCATTCGTATGGTGGATAATTGGATTTTATTGGGTATCTGCTGGTGGAGAAGTTCTTACCCGTGATGCGCCTCAACTTTACTGGTACACATAGTTCTCTGTTTAGATAATTGTACACATAATTCTTGAAAATATAGTCACCTTTTACATGGCTCATCATTTGTGTCCATTACAATAATGCTTCTTTATAATTTCTTTTGCAAGCTTTGCATTGTATTTTTGGCATTTGATGTTTTCTTTGTCGTCTTCTGTGTGGCTTTGGCCTGCATCATTGGTATTGCTGTTTGTTGCTGCCTTCCTTGTATCATAGCAATTTTATATGCAGTGTCGGATCAGGTACATCTTCTCAAATTACGTTGATAGAAGTTTTCATTAACTACTAAAGTTTGTTAGTTTTTTCTATGTATGATGTAGTAAATTGGTTTAGTAGTTTCACTATCTACTTTTGTGGCATAACCTTACGTAGTTTATCTCTTATAATATAAGCTTCAGTATGCCACAGTTGTCAGTAGATAAATCTGGTAAAGGTTCTTCAAATCAGGCTGGTTAGGCTGTGTAATTCACTACGTATGAGGAATATGGGTAATCTTTCTGAATGGTTGCTAAACTATCAGGTCTAAGCATAACTGAATAATCATCAGGCTAGGCTGGTAAACATGTACCAATTACTGGGTCTGTTTTTACATGTTCCAGTCATTGTAAAATTTCCAAAACTTATGTGTATCATGCTAATCATGAAATTGAAATTTTGAGTAACTCATGTTACTGCTATGCTGTTGAATTGTCAATTGCACCTGCAAAATTGCTCAATTGAAATATTGATTGATTATGCATGCCAGCACAGTTGCGATGATTGAAACCAATGTCTAGTGGAAATGAAAAATATCTAGCACTGCCACGTATCTTGGCTGATCCAAGTTGGAGACGTGGACATGTTCCCAGTAGGAAAGTTGGCTCAGCTCATAGCATTGTCTTTTTCCCCCTATATGAGTAGGCCATGTAAACACTGGAAGCTCAATTGCCAATTTACCACATATACACTAACCTGTGGTGATTCTGAGTGATGGAATACCATTTTTCCGTTTTGTGAACTTTCCGATACCAATCTGGCTTTCAAAACATGGTGTATACAACAAACTTTGAGAACTTCCAATGTATGAGCAAGTTGTACATACTGCTGTGCTAGATTTACTGTGATGAGTGACATGGTAAAATTACATGCCTTTCTATGTTTAAATTTACTTTTTTCGTTTTTTTTCTTCTTGTAGACCATGTGGTCTGTTTTATTGCTTCTCTTTCTTTATAACTTTTATTGCACATTTAATTTGTTAGCATGATTTTAAAAATGATTATGTTCTGTCCATATGATTGAAAACAGGAGGGAGCATCTGAAGATGACATTCGCCAAATTCCAAAATACAAATTTCGGAAGATGGAAGAGCCTGAAAAGCAGTCTGTTAGTGTGCCTGGATCTTCTGGTGGAATAATGATAGAATGTGGCACCAATCAACCTATTGAAAAAGTACTTGCAGCTGAAGATGCGGTAAATTCTCTAGTTCTTGATTCTTAACTTATTGCATTAGGGAGACTGAGATTCTGAATTATTTGTTGAAGTGACAAACTATTGATATAGGTGATGTGATCAAGTAAAAAAAACATCAGAATGGAGAAGGAATGTCTGAAAGAACTGATAGTAGCTAAACTTTGTTATTACTGTACTTGTTCATGGCCAAAACTGTAGCTATCACTATGATGTACCTGAGATCTTCCCGGCAAACTTTGTTGCAAACTCATCATAGATTACCATGTAACAAGGTTCCATCATATGACGTCTCTTAATTCTGATGGCCTTGTTTCAGTTGTATGTTGATTTGCGAACAGTATTCTAGTGCTAATGAAATTTGTTGCTCTTGGTCTATGCAGGAGTGCTGCATTTGCATCTCAGCTTACGATGATGGCGCAGAGCTCCGTGAACTCCCTTGTGGCCACCATTTTCATTGTGTTTGCATCGATAAATGGCTGCACATCAATGCCACATGCCCCCTATGCAAGTACAATGTTCGGAAAAACACTAGCAGCAGTGGCAGCGAAGAAGTATAAATCTCTATATGAGAACATTGAGAATTCGTACCCAACAGTTCTGGCTTCTCGCTGGTAATCTTTTATCCCAGAATCCCAGGAGTGTGCATTCATATATGTGCTAGTATAATTAAGAAAATGATCCATGTAAATTCTTGTATTCTTAATACGCCATAGTGATAATTATGTGTCAACTTTGCTCGTGCAGTTGTTTTCGTTGTGTTTATATTCTTTATAGTATGTGTACGTGTTTTAGAATTTCTGTAGAGCAGCGTCCTTCTCAGTACTTGTTTGTGTAGTCTACTAATGTTTTATAATAATCATACTAGCATTACAGGTTTTTGCTCCATTCGTTCTTCTGGCCAATGATGGTAAAAGCAAGTAGCTGAAGTTTTGAGTTGTAGGCTTGTAGCAGTATATATATGCATCATGTTTATTGCGGTGTCATGCCAATCAAATCTAGCCTTCAGGTCAGGTTTTCCATGGTGCCGCTGGCACCCACTTGACTGGTGATGGAGTAGAGATTCCAAATACTTGACCCTGCAAAGTTTATCAAACTTCTGCCACGATAAAAAAAATCTAAAAATTCAGCTTTCTAATCCAAAACCAAAGTTCCATATGCTGCGCGGAAGCTTTCGCATTAGCTCGCTGGCAGTCCACGTCTACCTGTGGTGCTCGCGTCTAGCCATGAAGCTATCTGCATATCTCCTGTCTTGGGCAATCCCACTACAGGGTGGATGCGAGGTTTTACTCTGCGCACCGGTGATGTGTCACGACAAAGATGACCCCCTGCCGCGTCTGCCAGTGACATTGAGCCTTTGTTTAGTTCCACCTCAAAATCCCAAAAGGTGCTACAGTACCTGTCACATCGAATGTTTGCGGTCTATGTATGGAAATTAAATGTAGACGAAAAAAAAACTAATTGCATAGTTTGGTGGAAAATTACGAGACGAACGTTTTGAGCCTAATTAGTCCATGTTTGAACATTAATTGCCAAATAAAAACAAACATACTACAGTAGCTCTAAATTCTAAATTCCTGGAACTAAACACGCGCGGAGGACCAGAAGAAGGGGTAGCGGAGCAAGGAGAGGACGGGCGAAAATGTCGTCCATGTTGAGTGAGCTTTGTGATTTCCATATCTCCCACTCTTCAGGTCGGTGCCAAGATCAAGCTATCTACGCGATTGTGCGTGGCATTTGACGGAGCAGAAATTTTCTAGGCGCCCAGTTCAGAATGTCGGTGAGCGAGCTCGTGACGAACCATACTCCACTGCTAGAGATTGACTCGTAGGTTGATCCCGGTTGCCCCGGTAAAGATATCCATCGTGTAGAAGTCGAACTTACCTAAATTCAGGCATAAGCCTTCCACGATAGCCTTGCCATTCGAGATGCCCCAACACGGAAGCTAAAGTACGCACGCTGACATGACAATCCGCAGTGGGATATCCTTAGCAGAATAGCAGTAGACCAGTAGTTAGCGAAGCTCTTTCAGTTTCTGAACAGTGCTACTAGATATTTTGATGGTACAGCTTCGAGTTTCCAGCCAACCGGAATGGATTGCCCGAGCTGTTGTCAGCCGAAAGAACGGAATGCGACTGGACAGTGGACACAGCGTGGGCCGCACGGCGCACCACCTTTGATCCTCGCTGGAGTGGCCCGGCCAGATATTTCTCTGGCCCTCTCTCTTTGGAGAAGTTGGAACCTTGCACTCGCAGCCTCATACCAGCACCAGCGTGCGCTGAAGTCAGAAAAGCGCGGGCGTTTTTGATCCCTGATCGAAGTGACGTACACGACCAATCACACTTTTCGTACGAAAAACATATCTCTGCAACGCTTTGAGCCACCTGGCGTCGCGATCCTTTTGGCCCACCAATCAGCCTGTTCGTTTGGCCGTAGAGTGTCATAAATGATCGTAAATTTTTAGTTGAAACAGTATTTTTCTCTCACACAAATCAGCCAATAGTATTTCTTTACGAACCAGCAACGAAACGAACCAGCCATGTCACCCTGACGTGACCAAGTCACTTTGACGCGTCGATCGGTTAGTAGCATCGGCTTGCCGGTAACAACAGGTTGTACTAGTTAGTTACACGGTGACGGCGTTATATAAGGTAGCCACCCAGCTAGCCTAAGCTTCCTCGCTAGATATTTCGGCCAGCAGCGGCACCACATTCTCCACTCTCCAGCGGCAAGGCAGGACCGCAGGAACAAGCGGCGAAACCGTGCGTGATCCACACCCTCGGCCGGCCGATCCATCCGATGGACGATCTGGCGGCGCTGGCGCGCGCCGAGGGGTGGACGGAGGAGCGGCACGCGGCGTTCCTCGACCGCATGGAGCTCTCCTTCGTCCAGCAGGTGCTCGGCGGCAGCGACGTGCGCCAGGCGTCCCGTAGGCTCGGCCGCCGGCCGGCGCCGCAGACCGAAGGCGGGCGCGGCCAGCTGGTCCCGGCCCCGCTCCCGCTCGACCGGCCACTGCCCGACAGCGCCGTGGAGTCCAACCGGTCGGGGCTGGCCGCAGCGCGGCGACGCGAGGCAAACGACGCGCGCCGCCGGCCCGTCGATCCAGCTGCAGGTTGGTGAAGGTGAAGCCTGTCGCACGCGCTTGCCTTTGGTATTGTGCAAGGTGGAAATGTACGCGTCCAGTCACTTGTTTCCGTGCATAAGTAGCGCGTTGGACGGCAGATGTGTGTGTATATATGATCATGGGAGTGCTGATAAGCTTTGTGAATTGTGATATGAGACAGAGAGTACGAGATATATGAGCATGTTATTATGACTTTAGCTTTGTCATGCACGCGCCTTTTGGATTGCGAGAAACGCGAACCAATTGAATCGTGATCATAGATTAGCGTCGGCATCGTGGACATCAACACACCTTCTGAACAGTTGATTGCAAGCCCTGACCTGTTTATATATCATCTGAAACAGGAAGTGTTTCCGTCTTGCGCCAATGGTGGTCTTCTAATCGGCGTGATGCTAAACTGTCTGGCAGCTTGACTTGTTAGCTGTCTGCTACGATTTCATTGTAGGATCTTACCTAAATAATTCAAAGATAAATCGATATATAAAATGTGGATGCCTCCTTTATTTTAGATCAATTTGAATTCAGCTACTGGCATCTTTCCTGTTTGCTTGATTTGTAGTTTTTTGACAAACTCCTGAACAACCTAGCAGGTCAAACTCAGAATGAACTCAATCAAGTTCCTGTCTACGAACGTAAGATCCATTCTTTTCTTGTGCTTGTTTGCCGACGCTGAGTTTGTTGGTGGCATTGTTTTCTTCTTTCTTTTCTTTTTCGTGTGTACATAGTCTCTCAGGACTTGTTTCACAAATATCAGCGGCCACAAAAGTCTTCGCCTAATCAAGAAGGACTACGCTTCCAAATAATATTTGGGCCTTGTATATATGGTCCGTTCCTGAATAAATTATTTTTTAGAGTTATTTGAAACTAAACTTTTTTTAAATTTGATGGAGCTTTATAAAAAAAATTTTTATGAAACAAAGTTAAAAGAGTTAGATACAACATGAAATATATTTGCATGCTATACTTCTCTGGTTTTCTAGTGTCATAGATGTTAGTACACTTTTGTATAGAATTAATTAAGTTTGAGAAAACTTTATTTAAAAATTATTTATTCAGGATCGAAGGTAGTAATACCTTTGCTCGAGAAACAGCTTGCTCAACATGCCTCTTCATAGGAGGATTTGAAGTTGAAACTATGCCTAAATGCTTATCCCAGAACAAAAGAAAGAGAAATTAATGAAGAAAATCATTCGATGTCCGCTGATGATCCATGAAACACTTGGTCCGATATGTCTCAATGCCCCCACCAAATGAGAGAAGAGCTGCTGCATGCACGAATGAAAAAAAAAAAGTGAAATGCAACGTCGGTCTTGTTTTTCGAATTGTTATCTAGGTCTATAAACTTTTCAAAAGTGATCAATCTAGATTTTTCAACTTTTGAAGCGGTTCATTCTAAATCATTCTAGGTCTAATTATGGATCTGGATTCACACTTCAAATGACCACTTGAAAAGTTGAAGGACGTGTATTTCATCAGTCAAAAAAAATAATAAAGATCACCATCTTATGATCGTGGCGATATTTCGAGCGAGTTGGTTTCTTGATTGAGCTAAGGTAAACCGAACCCAAATACATTGATTATTGGGCTAAGGTAGGCCGGCCCAGATGCATTTTAGGCCCACACTTAATAAAGATCACCCACCTTATGATAAGAAAAGCAGTGTGGCAATAATTTGAGTGAGAGTTGGTTTCTTCATTGGGCCAAGGTAAGCCGGCCCAAATGCAGTGTTAGGCCCACGTCCAACCGTGTTTTACTTTGAGACACCTGTTTGAATAATTCAGCTATTTTTCTCTTCTATATGCATAAACTATGGGGCCGACACTAAGCATATCATAGACAAAAAAAATCATTGTGGATTGTAGGGCATTACCCTTGTTAGAGGGTAACCCTTCCAAAAATTCTCTGCAGCCTAGGTGGGCCACAGAGGGGGTTTGGAAATAGTTTTCAACCAGCAATTGAAGCGCCTCGGTGTTACCTCACTAGCTGCGTCATTGCCCCAAGCGCAAGGACGCGTTCCAACGCTCGCCCGCAGCCTCCTTTTATGTTTCGCCTCGTTTCGTAAAATTGGCAATCCAGGCGATGTGGTACGAAACACCAACCGACCTAGTACGTTTCCATCTGGACAACACGTCACGTCCGCCCACCCCATAGGCCAGTATTCGTACAGACTTGCCTGGCTGGGCTCTTCCTTCTTTCACGCTATATGGTGATCATGGGCTTGGTTGTCTCCCAGGTAATCACGGGATATTCTAATTAGCTATTATATTTAATAAAATCCTCATATGTGAACGTGTGATTGTCTGATTGGTCACCTTTACCCGGATATGGGCCTTAGGACAAGTCCAGCCCAGAAATTATGACAGTTTCTGTACTTATCAAATCATATATATACTGGTATTAAAGCCGGCGGATAAGCCGGTCTTGGCTGATTTGTTGTGAGAGAAAAATATTGTAGATTCTACCTGATAAGCCGGCTGATAAGTTTAACCGAACAGGCCATATGTCTTCCCTTTCGATTATCTATCTATCATCTTTTTTCATATATTGGTTCCGACATAGTTTCTTATCCAAGAAACTATTTCGTTCTCTCCCTTCTTCAATTCCAATACCATGTCATCATTTACCTTAGTTGACACTCTAATTAATGGACATAGAAACCATCCTAGTTTCTTGGTTGAAAATGTCCTTAGTATCCTCAGCTAGCTCATACGTGTGTGAAACCAGATGGGTAATAGGATAGGGGTTTCCATATGTTTTGGCATATTCCGTTTTTCATTCAGGATAAAAACCTGTAATTATCTTGTTTTCATTCTATTTTTATTTATACGAGTTATATCTAACAATTATATCTCTTGGGACACATGCGTGAGCCCAGTGTTCAAGGACAACAACTCTGGATCGACTTTGATTGACGAGAACGAAGCCAATGCAGTGCATCCAGTGGATGGCCTGTTCGTTTCGCTGAAATTTGACTTATGTCGTTGCTTATGCTGATTTGTTGTAAGAGGAAAACACTGTTCGTTCGCTGAAAAGTATTGTTGAAGTAGTGCTGCAAGCTTTATGTGGCTCAACAGTGGGTCTCTATCATGCTGGCGCTAGGTCAGGCCAGGCAACAACTACACGGTAGAGAACTACCATGAGGGTTCGCCAAGGTCAGCATCGATAATATTGCGAAGAAAAGATACACAAAATAGTGCTTGACTTTATAGCTAACGAAGACGACTTGACACTTGGTAACAAGGACGCCTTTGTAGCGTGTCACAAATTCTACAATTTTTTTGTTGATAAGGAGTTCTCTTCGGATGATGACGACGACAACGGTGTTCATTCGTTAACACCTCCTAGGGATTCCTCACTGTCCCACATAGGAGATTTTTCCCCTTCTCCTTCTCCTTGTCTTCTCTATCTCCTTCTCCTCCTCCTCTACCGTTGTCGCCGCAGCCACAAGCTAAGTTCCAGGGCAAATGCGACATATTAACAAGGTCTACTGAATCAAAGAAAAGGTCCAACCACTCAGTAAATCAAGCTCTTGAATTTCATGAAAAAGGAAAATAGATGAGTGGGAGAGTAACTAACCTAATGAAAGAGGCAATTCAACAATTTTCTTAAGAACATCGCCGGTATAAATCAATCTATACCGGCGGCATGCTTACACAACCCACCAGTGTAAAGCATTTTATAGAATTTGTAAGCCGAGCAAAAATAACCAATTTTTTAATCCAAAAGAGACCTGGTAGCCAGCCTCCCACGGTCATGCGTCACAAGTCACAAGTCATGCAACCTTTTTCAGTACTACAATTTTAGTTTAGATCATTTCTCTATGCGAGATCATTTGAGAATTAAAAAAACTGGTGTCAATTATTCGTACTGACGCCAGGTTAAAAAAACCGCTAGTAGAAATCATGTTTTTACACTAACAGTTCTCTTAAGACTATCACCAGTGTAACACTAATAGAAATGTATTTACATTGATAGTTCAGAGCCATGGGCCAACAGTTCTATTTCTACCGGCGTTTATGCATTACGAATCACTAGTAGAAAAATTGAGAGGCGTCTACAAAAACTATTTCTATACTAGTGGATGCCTTGATTTGCATTTGGTCTCGACATAACTTGCACAACCATAGGAGAGGAGAGGAGAGGAAAGAATAATAGGAAGACGAAATAGTTATGAACAAGGAATTGTTCGAAGATAGATATACGAAGTCGTGAAAATGAATATAGATGGGATGCCAGGAGGGAGAACAATTACACTCGTACAAATAAGAACTCCCCAAAAAAATGTTACTACTATGAAAGAAGCTTGTTTAGAACACAGGATTGGTACAGGAATTTCGAGAAAATCAGTTCAATTTCACGTGAAAAACACAGGATTCAGGAAAAAAATCCCGTAATCCAAATGGCGCCCTAAACTACCCGTTGCTGACCGGCATTTCAACAGGGGACTAGGGTACGAGACCACCACCTGTTGTCCTGATGCATGACTTCTTCGGCAGGGCACGTCTTGCTGCCTTGTCCACATCTCAATAATCTGCCCTAAAGTCAACCGCAGACACAGTATGCAATGGTCCTTGTCGACAAAAGATGCCCGGCGGTCCTCTAAGGGGTATCCCACGAAGGTAGATTGATCGGTGGAGGTGCATTTGATAGGAACCGGATGGTGACACAAGGCGTAGAGACAGCGATTTAGACAGGTTCGGACCGTCTGATCGACATAATACCCTATGTTCTATGTCTTTGGTGTATTATATTGAATATGAGATGTATAGAGTTGCCTTGGGTTAGGCCTATGATCTGTATGGGGATATCGACTAGGGGACCCCTGCCTCTCCTTATATACTCTGGAGGGGTATGGTTACAAGGAAAGTATCATATTTAGTACTATACAATATCTTGCGGTGCACGTCGACCAGTGTCTTGCACGCTTTGATCTTGTGGGCTGAGCCACCTCTGATCATGCAGCCCATATCTTATCTTATGAATACCAGGGGCCATTCCCCCACCGTCCTCCACCCAACCAACTTCATTCCAAACCTAGATCTGATATACAAAGATGCTAACAGCTTTGTCCGTACTCATTATGTGCTCTAGTCAGTGTATGTTCACATCCGAATCATGTGAAACTTTGGTGTTCCAAACGGGGTTTACAGTTGCTGATATGTGCTTTTGAACTAAGAGCCACTGTTAAAATAGGGCCCTCGGTTCTCTTCTTGGATGCATGGATTGGTTTGCGGTGCGACTGCATCCACACAGATAGGCAGCCTGTTCGGGAGGCCGTATCGTATCGTGGATTATTTATTGCTGGCTGGTTTGGTGTGAGAGAAAAACACTATTCCTGGCTAAAAATTTACTATCGTTTACGAGCAAGCGAACAGGCTGAGGATCGCCGATCAGCTAGAGCAGCTAGCTGAGACTTGGGTTGGGATAACGCATGCCTGTTCATATGCACGTTATGAGAGCTGATTACAAGAAGAGGTTATGAGTGCTTGTAATGATGGATTATGCCACTTGGTATGCGTGTTAGGTGAGCCAGATATGCGAGCGCGATTTGATTTGACCTAGCTGCCTCTCGCAGCTCTGGGCTGGGCACGCCGGCCGGCCGTGTCATTCTTCTCTGATGCTCCTCAGGACCAAGTTTAACTATAAAATAACATGAGTAGTGGAGATGGTGAGGAATGAGGAGGAGATGAAGGTGACACTCGGAGACTCGCGTTGGAGCTCGCTTGGGATGGATGCCGCACGCATTGGCGCGCCTGCTGTCTCAGTTTCGGCCAAATTTCTTGCCATTCCACCAACGGTAATAAAGGTTAAAATAAAATATGGGAGCGCCTTTGCTTTGATGCTTGATAGGGGAGTCCAAAAGGAAGCTGCGTGTGCTTGCAATGTCCAGAGAAATTCTCCTTGGACATCTACCTGTCTATTTCATTGGTCCAATGCTTGTTTAATTTGACTTTTTTAGCATAATAAACAGAAGGATGCCTGATGCGGCTAGAAGGAGAGTTTGATGGGTTTTTACCTTGTCCTGGCAGCCGCACTAATATCTGAACCGTTTGCGTCTGAACGTAGAAGGATTTTTATTGTGTATACAGATGAGAGAGACCACGCACAATGGCTTTTTGGAGGTGCAAGCCTCTGCTTCCATCGATCTATTTGTCCCGACCAAAAGGGGGCAATGCAGCGTAACGTGCCCACGAAGCTACCGTAGCTAGCTTGGGTCATGCATCAACCAACTCGTCGGTTCTCTTTCTCTCTAGCTAGCTTTACAAGTGGAATGCGCGACAGACACTCGAAATTGCATGCGTCAGTTCATCCATCCTTCCAAAAAGATGAGGAGTTGCAGAGGAGGATATGATCATAGCATATAAAGCAAGTAAAATGATGATACGCCATACTCCATCTTTTGCTCAAACTACCAAATAACTTCCCCAGCAACAACAGCAA